CATCGATAAACAGGTTTCGGGCTGATCAAAGAAGTGGTGAAAATGATGCAATTGTTTTGCAGAATGCATTAATGGAGTGGAATAGCGAAGGAAAAAAGAAAGGAGGGTTTAAATGGCTTCATTGTTGGGAAGTTTTGAAAGATAATGCCAAATTCGATGGAGCATCTCACACATCTCGAAGTGGAAAGAAAGCTAGAATAATTGATACTGGAGATCACACTTCTGGCTCTGGGCAAGATGTTGAGCCTAGTGGTGATGTTGAAGACAGGTATGTGCGTCGACCAATTGGCCAAAAAGCAGCAAAGGCAGGGAAGAGAAAGGGAAAAACAACTGCAGGAGGGAGCACCGGTCCAGATGTTGGACGTCTGTTGGCTGAGATTGGTGAGGTTAAAGAAATTCATTTAAAGAAACAAAAGGATTTGGAAAAGTTGGTTCGTATAGAGTCATGGAAGACGTACAGAGAAATGCTAAAGGAGGATACTTCAACCATGACAGAAGAAGAATTGCAAGCCCACCAGGGACTTCTTGCTGTGCTTAAAGAAGAACTGGGTCTCAAATGAATTTCTATATTGTTTGGAGTTTTTAGCGTGCTATAATTTAAATTGTTATGCAATGTTTATCTTAGTTATTATGTTTATGTTAAATTTTATGATTGCGAGCAATGTTCGTTGGTATATGTTTTTTTTTCATTTATTTTACTAATATGCACCATCAACTCGAGCTTCTCTATTTAAATGTTCGGAGCTCCGAAATACTCGATAAATGTCCCGCATGACATCGTGCCTGAATGATCTACACATCCCAACTCTATTTTCGGTAAACCAAAGTCACACGCGATCTTGCGGGACCCACGTAAATGGCTTTTTTTTCATTTATTTTACTAATATGCACCCTCAACTCGAGCTTCTCTAATTAAATGCTCGGAGCTCTGAAATACTCGATAAATGTCCCGCATGACATCGTGCCTGAATGATCTAGACATCCCAACTTGATTCTAGGTAAACCGAAGTCACACGCGACTTTGCGGGACCCACGTTAACGGTTTTTTTCATTTATTTTACGAATATGCACCCTCAACTCGAGTTTCTCTAATTAAATGTTCGGAGCTCCGAAATACTCGATAAATGTCCCACATGATATCGTGCCTGAATGATCTACACATCCCAAATCGATTCTCAGTAAACCAAAATCACACGAGACCTTGCGGGACCCACATAAATGACTTTTTTTCATTTATTTTACTAATATGCACCCTCAACTCGAGCTTCTCTAATTAAATGCTCGGAGCTTCGAAATACTCGATAAATATTCCGCATGACATCGTGCCTGAATGATCTACACATCCCAACTCGATTCTCGGTAAACCGAAGTCACACGCGACCTTGCGAGGCCCACGTAAATGACTTTTGTTTATTTATTTATTTTACTAATATGCACCCTCAACTCGAGCTTCTCTAATTAAATGTTTGGAGCTCTGAAATACTCGATAAATGTCCCGCATGACATTGTGCCTGAATGGTCTACACATCTCATCTCGATTCTCGGTAAACCGAAGTCACACGCGACCTTGCGGAACCCACGTAAACTGTTTTTTTTTTTTTCATTTATCTTATCCTATCAATAATGGAATTAAAAAAAAAAACAAGCTACTGCACCACACATGCCACCTACTGCACCACACATGCCACCTACTACAATAATATCTAACACAAGCTAACCTAACACAACCATTTCACACTATAAATAGTATAGTATCATCAACTCCACAACCACATACAAAAACCACAGCTAAATTCCTTATTGATTCTTTAATTCTCATTTTTTGTCAATTTTCACAAACATAAATTTTTTTAATTTCTCTAAAAATGGCTAGTCGTAATAATGATAGAGTCTCATATCGTGCTTTTTTGAAAGATATGCTTGACGATTCATTGGAGCAAGCTGAATTTGCCTTGATGGAGGCCACGACTATGCAATTGCAGCAAGCCGAGCAAGATGAAAGTTCAACTAGGCGTGAAAGACGAGAAGTGCCTCGAAATCGTGAAGCTGGACATGCCCTACTGGTAAGAGATTATTTTGCTCCTAATCCCATATACCACGAAGGCTACTTTCGTCGTAGATTCCGTATGTCCCGACGATTATTTTGTCGGATCGTTCATGATGTCGAAGGCCATTCCGATTATTTTAAGTGTAGATCAGATGCGGCACGAAGATCAGGTTTTACACCAATTCAGAAGTGTACTGCGACTATACGTCAACTAGCGTACGGAGCTCCTGCAGATCAATGTGACGAATACCTTCGTATGTCAGAGCAAACGGCGAATCGAAGTCTGATCGAGTTTTGTCGTGCTGTGCGAGAAATATATGCACCCCAATATTTACGCCCCCCAAATGCCAGTGACATCCAAAGAATACTTACATTACACGAGGAGAAACATGGTTTTCCTGGCATGTTGGGAAGTCTAGATTGTATGCACTGGGAGTGGAAAAATTGTCCAGTTGGATGGCAAGGCTCGTACACTCGAGGGGACCATGGGGTACCCACGATTATGCTTGAAGCAGTGGCATCACAAGACTTATGGATCTGGCACGCATTTTTTGGGCTCGCGGGATCACGGAATGATATAAATGTACTACACGAATCTCCATTATTTAATGATGTTTTACATGGTGTAGCTCCAGAGGTCAATTTTGTGGTTAACGGGACTCAATACACCAAGGGATACTACTTAACAGACGGTATCTATCCAGAGTGGGCTACATTTGTCAAAAGCTTTCAATGTCCAGAGGATCCAAAAAGGAAAAAATTCAAGCAAAGACAAGAGGCTGCAAGAAAAGACGTTGAGCGTGCTTTTGGGGTCCTCCAGTCAAGGTGGGCAATTATTCGAGGCCCTTCTCGTTTTTGGTATAAAGAAGATCTTAGCGAAATTATGTTATCGTGTATCATTTTACATAACATGATAATCGAAGACGAAGGCGAAGAAGCTACCAACTGGTCTAATGATGAATGGGAACCACCAATGCTGGCGCGTGAAGGGGTGTCTCCAAATTTTCGACGCTACTTGCAGATAAGAGCTGAGGTGCAAGATAGACAAATTCATCATCAACTTCGACACGACTTGGTCGAACATATTTGGAATGAATCTACTTCCCATGATTAATATTTAGAACAAATTTGTACTCAAAAATTTTCAATATTATGTCTGTTCTATGTTTCGTAATTTTTGTTTTGTAATTGTTATACTTAAAACTATACATTCGTACTTAACAATATATAATATATATAATTATATTATTTTTTAGATGTATTTATGATAAATATATGAAATGTTTACATTTAATAAGAATAAAAAGTAGAGTTATAATTTTAAGATATTAATAAAATATAATAGTATAATATTAATTAAAATAAAGTGGGAAACATGTGGGACCCATAAAAAATGAGGTTTATGAGGTTTATTGTTATTGGAGGTTTATGGATGTAGGAGTAAGAATGAAGTTTTGGATGATGTGGCATGTTGGAAAGTGTAAAAGTGAGGTTTATGAAGGTTTATAAAAAAACATTGTTAAAGATGCCCTAAAACCCTGCTTCAGCCCGCTCTGCTCTCTCTCCCCCTCTCTCTCTCTCTCTGTCCGCGTCGATTTCAGGTGGAATTTCGTTAGCCTGGTTTCCGTCCCTCAAGGTCCCATAACTAGTGGCAACTTCACGCCGGCGATGGCCATGGGGACCAATAGTGAGTGGCGCATGGCCGGAATGGAGGTGCCGCTGCTCAGCATTGATTCCGTCGAGTGGCGTCAACTCTCCGTCCCTTCGTCTTCTTTAGCATCCTCAGCGAACACTTCTAACGAGTCAGTTGCTAAAGACTATGCTTCTTGCTGCGTTATCGGAGATCCCCCTTCTTATTTCATCTGGTAATCCAACCTCTAATGTGTAACCCCCCCTCTATCTCTCTTCGTGATTGTGGTTTTCTGCATATGCATTTTGTTCCTACATGTCTCTTCTTTTAACTGGACTATTATAACAGTGTTGCTTTCATAATGTTGTTTCCACTGCACGCTGAATTCTGCTGTTTATCATATTCTTATGATTTGTTCTGTGTTTATCAGTAACTAAAGGGTAGTTACTGTTTCACATCTCAGCTTGAGGGTTCTTTATTTTATTATGGGTTTCCCCTTTGCAGTCTAAGAAGTTTTTCTAGTCGGAGCAGTTAGGTACTAAGGCTGAATGATGCAGCTTAGTTGGCTCGCTGGGTACAAGTCATTTTTTATTAGTGCATCACCTACATGCATATGTCCCTATCTCTTGTTGAATAACAAATCCATTTAGTATCCGAGCGACTCTGACTGTCAAAGAGTACCCATTGTCAGTTTATATTCTACATTATAACTTCCAGCTCCACACATTGCACCAAATCTCCCATAATACAGTCTCCAGAGTAACGTACTGCTTTGCTCGACTATTCTTAATATTTTTGGGACCCAGGTCCCGAAAACATAATTGTTTTTTTTTCCTTTTTTTTTTTCTTTTTCTTTGAGATACTCCTTGAAGCCATTGGCATTGTTGTTTTGGAAGTCATGGATACTAATTATTGAATGTCGGTAACTTGGATCTTTGATGAGATACAGATTGTTGAATGTTAACTTGGTTACTTAATGATGCAAATATTAGTAAGTTCATTTTTCTTATGGACACATGCTCCATTTATATTTGAATGCTACAAATATTGGAGTGTGGACGAAAATGAATTGTATGCATGATGGAGGATATCTTAGCTAATTCCTTTATCCTCTTGTGGAGATTCTTTTTCAGTCTCAGATTGTGGTTGAACATATTAATTCTCAGTAATATCTTTGCAATGCTGACTTCGTTACATGTAACTTTCCCGACACAGGAAAATCAGCGCTAGTCAGACAAATGTACTGGAGATTCTAGAACTTTGTAGTCATAAGAAAATATTTGGAACTGGACTTCGGCTCATTTTCGCTGATGCTTTACATCCATTTGCTTTTATATGCAAAGATGAGGTTTGCTAATTTTCAACGATTTATTCTGGGTTGTCTACTGATATTCTAATATCCAGAGGCAAACTATGTTGTTAACTCAGAGTTCTTTCTTTCATGTGCAGAGCAAGGTTGCTTCTGGAAATAATTTGATGCTATATACTTTGACGGTCTCAGGGGTCGCTTACCTCATCCATTTAAGGAACAATTTTGACTACGGAACTTCTTCTGTTGTCCCTATTGACGAGATTCTGGAGTGTAACACACAAGTTTCACCTCAATGTGGAGCAATTACTGCTGTTAATGCAACATCAGGGTGTTTGTTGATTGGAAGGCATGATGGATCAATTGGTTGTCTCCAGATGGGCATACTTGACTGCAGCCATCCAGGTCAAATATATATAATCATGCCAATTTTTTGTGTTCACAATATGTTTCTCTCTATATTTTTTTGGTCACTTGACTCGCTTATAGGCTTGTAGCAATTGTGTGGTGTGAACTTCTGAATGTTAAATAATCAAATGACTAGAGTTCAGGTTGTATTTTGATACAATCTTGTTTCCGTATGTATGCAGTCTTCAGTAATCAGTATACATCTTGATATTCTTCCTGAATTTATTTGTAGGCTTTGCGTTTGATTTGCGAGATGATCCTGGGTTTAGTCGATTGTGGGGAATGTTGTCAAGGTAATTTTTAGCTTTCAAAGTCATGAAACTTGACTTCATAACTTTCTGATTTCTGAATTTGTCGTTAGCTACAACCCTTTCAAGGTGTGTGAGGGACTGATATCTTGACCTTTCACTCATATGTAGTGTGAAGGTGTTTGTTACGAGAAATGAGAATGAACTTTCAACATGTGTTTGGATATAATATTAAAATGTAATGATTGTCGATTTGATGGCTTTCTTAGTAAAATAGTGATGAGAAGTGGTTGGTAATTTGAAAAGCAAGATCATGAATTATTTATGACATGAAAGGTTAATGATGAATGTTGGTGCATGTTGTTTAGTCAAATCATAATAACACGTGACTGCTTATCGAAAACATATTTTAATTCTCAATTTTCCGACAACTTTCTGATTAATGGCCAGAATGCAGCTACAAAATCTGAACTTAATTAGGGGTTCCTGACTGCAAACCATTAGAGGTGGCCCTTTGGTTGTCCTAGGGAAGTGTCTCAGATGCTTAAGTCATCTAGCCAAATGAAATTCAATTGATTCGAAGCTGGAGTAAATATAGCCTACCTTTTAATTTTTGGATGGGTTGGTATTTATAGATTTTTATGACGAGAGTTATTCCAGTTTCGTGGTGCAGCGCCTTATGTTTAATAGTCCCAATAATCAGGAATCCTCCGACGGGCTTTGGTCAAATTAACATTGTACTTATTTGGCATGTAATTTGGGTTGTACCTCATCAATATTCTTATCTTTTCCTTTTCTCACTAGAGAGGCAGTCCTCCCTGTTTCTTTGGGAGGCAGTGGTCTTAGTGTAGTCTGTTCATATTTGGAGAGTTTTGAGCTGCTAGAGTCCTGTTTTCCTGTTAGGCCTTTATCACAATTATCAGGAGAGTTGCATGCTGTCTCATCGTTTTCAATGATGATTTTAGCCATCATCTTCATGTTTCTGGACCAGCTGCCTGAAAGCTGTTTTTGTGTGTAAAGTTGTGGTTATTATTTTTGATAACATGTCACCTGATAGTTGCAGATGTTTGCAGATATAAATGAAGGTTGCAGAAATTTAAGTAATGAAAAAAAAGATGAAGCCTAAATTTGAACTGACTTTGAAAATGCTGCATAGTAAAGCAGATGCAAAATGTGGATATGCTTGTGTCTGGTAATACGCGGGATTAAGTTTTTGTAGTTGATTTCACTTTGATGGTTTCTTGTGGTTATCTATCTTCGTCGAAATATATGTTATAATTATCCTGCATCAATGTGGTTTTATTTTGTTGGAGAACTTCAGCTGTGAGATGAAGAGTTTGGAAACCTACGGAAAGCAAAGACTGTCAGATTAGACCTTTCCTATTTTATATGTTTTGGGCTTATGCCTCTAGTTGAATGCATACTTTTGTTCGGATACTGTATTTATATATGGATTGTCATTTAGGAGCCCAAATCTGGCCGCTGTACAAGATTTGGTGATATCAGAGGTGCACCAGAGAAAGCTTCTGTTTGTGCTTCATTCTGATGGGAACTTTCGAGTTTGGGACCTTTTAGGTCGTTGTAAAATTTTCGGTCATGCAATTACCATCGAAACATTGGCAGGAAAGTATTCTAATCGTTTCACAATTTCCTAGTCACATAATGAATTGATTTTTGTTGATTTGCAGAATTTTCAATTTTTGATACTAAAATCTTATAATTCTCTTGCACATTTTGCTCTGCATCAAGCTTTTGTTATATTTCTTTATCCGTAAAACAGAATTTGTATGCATGTGAACTTTTTGAGGTCAAAGAAATAATAAATTGGGCGATCTCTCCGAAATTTAGCCAATCACATTTCCTAATCTTGGTAGATAAATGGTCCTTCTTATCTATGTATTTCATGTGGATAAACATTTATAGATATTCTACAAATGATTACTGTTTCTTTGCTTTTAATCAATGTTAGATACTACGCATGCCATCAGTGTGTAGCTGATAGATTGATGCTGTGACATAAAGATTGATAATATCACTTTGGACCTTGAAAAAGTTTTATTCATAGAGATGTCCAAATTACTGAGTACCTGTCCTATCCTCTTATTTTTTTTTTCTATACCAAGGATACTGTAATAACTGCGTGAAAATGGACAACGGAGGGGTTAGTTGGATTGTATTTATTAAAATGTTTCGTCAACTACCGTTGTGGTTATGGCTTATTTTATATTGCTTAATAACATTGGAAGGTGCAGACATTAGTAATATCTGAACTGTTACCCTATGGTCAACACGGTTTTTGGTAACTGTTCCTGCCAAATATTTCTATTTCCTTATTCAAGAAACGGGTCTTAGTTGATTTTGGTATACGACCTGTCATTGCTTTTTTTTTTGTTTTTGTTTTTTTGATCTACATTCTTGTTGGGTATGTGTGCAGATACTATTCGTGTAATGATCAAAACAGATTGTTGTAACTCTTCCCTATGAAATTATTTTAATGGGGCTTGTTTCTATAAAGTTTTTGATAATAATTTGCAATGATGTGACAACTAACCTGATATTCATTCACATAACTTACAGGTGCATTTTTTAGGGTTTGGGTAGGAGAAGCTAGCAATGATACCGGAATAATTCCAATTGCAATGCTACATAAACAGAATTCGGTGAGTGGTTGTTAAGGAGTTATCCTTCCAACTTTGCTGTGTGGTCAACTTGTCAATCCTGATATATCTGTATGTTTTTTTTTCTTCCCAAGGTTTCATTACGATGTTGCAACTTTATATTCAGAAGATGCCTGTTGCATTTTTAGAAAGAGTAAATATTACGAAGTATATTTTTTTTGGATAGCTCCCAAAATGTTTATATGTCTAGCAATTAGATGTTTTTAGATTTTTTGCTCAATTTTTCCAATCGACTTTGTTCTATTGCGTCATAGTATTGGATGTCTAATGTGAATATTTACTCATTTCTCTTCTGGTAATTGATAAGGAAGTTGGCACAGAAACAATCTTTCTATACGACCTTCATTGCCATGCGGGAGACCGGATTGTGTTGTCTCTGGAGCCATCACAGAAAAAAATATTCATAGGGGAGGTAAATAGATGAGTTACTTTATGTTGTACTGTTAGTCAATTATAAACAGTTTATTCCTGGGCATCACATGGTATTTGCTTCCTGATTTTTTCAAGGGTGGATGTATTGATGTCAAGTTCACATTGAGCAATGTGTGGATTCTCAAGGAAGAGGTGCTCATTATGAAGGACTTGTTTGGTAATAACACCATGGAGTAAGTTACTATGTTATTACTTTGCTAATGCTGTTCTCTAATGCATTGTTTTATGTTAATTAAACATTTTCCGCCAAAATCCTGCTTTTAAGAATCAAACAAATCATATTGGATTCTTCTTTCTGTGTATTCTTCTGGGTAATTTTCATTCATCTACACGTTTGGAAATTCTTATTGATGACTTGACACTTTCGGACCTCGTGAATCTGCATCTCACTGGTTTTGTTATAGGATAGTCCAGATTAAGTTGATTATGCAACATTTTTAGTAGATTTATCTTTTCTTCTATCAATTTTAGCTTGAATGGTTAGATTGACCTGTTCTACGCTTGAGTTGCTAATGCTCATTTTTGTTGTTGTAGGGAATCCACAAATTACTATACTCTGCAAGAATCATTTATTGCTGATACGCTATTTCAGAGTTCTGAGCATTCTTCAGATGATCTTCTTTGCCTTGCGTATTCGGTATTTTCGGCTTCGAAGGTGTGCTATTCATTTTAACTGTTTTTCTGGTGTTATCGCTCAATCCAAAATTAAATTATGGATAAGTGAAGGCTCTGTATTGTAATATATATTCATGAATTTGTGAAGGTTCTGTATTGGAATATATATTCATGAATTTTGTTTTAGTTTAGATGTCATTGGAAGCACTGTTTAGTCCATTGCAAATGGAGTTGAAAGAGCCATTGTTGACAATTCTCCTGGCATAGTGCTAATAATGGACTAGATCAAAATGGCTTAATTAAATTCTAATGCTTCTTCTATTAGTGAAGTTTCTAGATAAAAAAAAATATATCAAACGACGAAATTCACCTTGGGTCGCTACGGAAACAACCTCCTTGTATAATTACAAGGGTAAGGTCTGCGTACAACTGACTCCCCAGACCCCAACCAGTTGGGAATATACTGGGTATGTTGTTGTTGTTGTTGTCGTCATTGGAAGCAGTGTGGGTTTTGTTTTTGAGAAGATATTAGACTCTGAAATTTTGTAGATTTATGGAATTTTTCTTCATCTACTGAAATAGAATTTCGCGAGTTGTGCCAAATGAAATGACTTGTTTTTTGCTCTTGTGCAAAATGAAATGGACTTGTTTGATCTATTCTTATATTTAACATCTGTCATCCTGTTGGGACTTCATATGTCCATAGTTTTACAGTGGCAACTATTCTTCACGTAATGAGTTGTGTTGACCGATTTCTTTGATATGCTATTTATTCATTATCTGAAAACAGATATAATATATTTTTTATTTAGGAGTTATGCTCCTGAACTATATTATACATTCGCTAATGTTCAACTGTATGCATGTTGAAAGTATTCCTTTTGTGCAGGGGGAAGTTGCCCCATTTGTATCTTCTGTGTTTTTGCGTGCATTGCTTACTCCTGGGGTTCACTGCAATGCTGTTCTGAGACGAACTTTAGGAGAGTATAACAAGCACTTCACAGAATCAGAGTTTAGTTCCTTAACTCTTGATGGTCTGAAAAGTGAAGTTTTGTCACTGATCGAGCATCAGGTAACTTTGTTGCGTGGTTGATCATTTTGAAGAGCATTATTCTATAGACATTGTTTTCCTTTTTAATTTTACTAATCGACTGTCCGGGACGTATTCTTGTCATTCATTTTTATGATGCTACATTTTTTATCTTGTGAATATTTTTCAAATTTTGAACTTCACATAAATGAAGGACCTGTAGAATTGTTTGGTTACCTTATAGAGATGCCTTGACGCAAAAAAAATGTCAAATGGCCATACTGGGTAGTATGTCAAGTGTAGTACTTCAATTGTTAGAACTGGAGCAGCATACTACTGGTTTTTGTTGCTACTACAGTAGTGGCATTTGTTGTGCCATTTTTCCAATTTATTTTGTTGTAAGAGGTAATGGGTACTAAGTAATGGGAACTTGGTATTTTCTTGTAGGGTGGATCAATTCTTCAACGTTGGAAGTCATTTTGCTCTCGATATGTGGATAATTGGTGTAAATACAATACAGTATGTGGTCTGCTAGTAGATCCATTAACAAGTGCTATTGGTTTAGTCAGGAACAACACAATCTCTCTCTGCCGCGGCATGGAGGAAGTGGAACATATTATCTATGGTACACCTAATTGCTTATTATGTAAGTTACGACTCTTTCCAATGCATAATTTACTGTACATTCTCTTTGTCCAGGTTCTTTCGAGGAACAACACAGGTATATGAGCCCTGGATTGCTTTACTCAGGTGATGAGCTTAGTAGGAAGATCCTATATGAGTTACTACAATGTCTTGAAAGTGTGAGCAAGCAGTTAGGAAAAGCTTCATCAGCTATATTTTATGAGTCACTTCTTAACACACCTCATATATCATCAGATGAAGTTGTTTCTCGATTTCTTAAGATATTGGAAAGTGCATATAGTTATACAACTGAAGCTAAGCTATCATCAGAACTTGGATTGGATACTAATTGGAGAAAAGAATTGTCGAGTAACAGAAACTTAAGAAAATTCTCGACAAATATGTTTTTGTCCTTTCAAGAAATGTGCAATAAAGCCAACTCTTGGGGCAAAATTCTGGATGTGATTGAGAGCTACTTAAAGGTTTTAGTGCCTCAGAAAGTTGTGCTCAAATCGAATGCTGAAGCGATATTCCATATTAATGGTTATGGGATTGTGCAGTCGACTTTCCAAATTGCCAAAGTGATGTTTGAATCTGTGTTGGGTGTTCTTATGCTGCTAAGCTATATGACTAGCATCAGCGGACAGGTGAGTTTCATTGAACTACACGGACTAAAAAAAGTGAATGGTGATGGATCCCTTCGATTTTTTATTTTTCTCATTTTCATCTCTTTCATAAGTTACCAAGTTATAGCCTAATTAGTGCATGAAGATAAGTTCCTCTCTATCTATTTCAGTATCATGTGTAATAAACACCCTTGACAATGGAGCTGCGGTAACAGCCATTGTTTTATAATGAATGTGGATAACCTTTGAAGCATACGCGTTCTGTTCTGTTCCAATTTTACAAAAAAAATCTGAAGTAGCATGAGAAAAATTTATCATTTGAACCAGGTCCATTGTTAGATAGCGAGTGTATCATTTTTCTTTTCCTACTAAAATTCTGTACATTGTGGTATGGGAGGAAAAGACTCATTTCCTTGCAGTATGAAGCCTTTTGTTTCATTAATGCCATCTATGTGTTCGGATGCAATTTTTCTAATGATGCATATGCATCTGGTAATCTTGGAGAAAATTTTAATTTTTTATCATTTCTTTTTTGGGTTACTAGACTTTCGTTTTGTATTGAGTTATGATGAGAATATAAAAGATTTTTCCACCCAATTGTAATAGAGAAATAGAAGTGGACTCTAAAATCTCTATGGCCCTTAGGTGTTTGTGACATGCATAGCTTTAGTTTTATGGTCTAGTCTGAAAAGATCATTAATTCATATTGATCTAAATTCCACCCTACCTAGAGCTGTGTTTATTACCACATACCTGCATGCCACCTTGCAATTTCCACAACTTGAGTTACAGTTCTGTTATGGACCTATGGTGTGAGAAAACAATTTATTTCGTTCTTTTGCAGATTAACATGTCACATTCTGATGTCTCAAGAGTCAAACTCGAGTTAATTCCAATGATTCAAGAAACTTTAATAGAATGGCATATTATTCGCTTCTTTGGGACCACACCATCCGAATCTCCTGCAATTGAAGATTTCAGTTATCGGCTTTCATCCTTACATATTGGTATGGAAACAGCATAATCTTTGATGAGTTCATTATGGTGTGAATTGTATCTCTGATACAGTCCTGTACATGTAGTGAATATAAGAAAAACAAATGTTTGAGAAATCTCTCTGCAATAGGCATATTTATTAGTTGTTAGTGACATTTTAAGCTTTATAGTCAACGTTTGGCCTGAATTAGCACAAACCAGTTGTTGATTGGAATTGTAATGTAGAATTGGATATTCATGCAGCTGAATTGATTTGTGTCTCACTGTCTTCAATTTGATGTTTGTACAGCTATGCTTAGACCTTAGTTGTGTCTTTTTTCTTGCTTTCTGTTATACTTGTCAGATAGCAATGGAGATAAAAGATTGTGGAGTGAGAGGCTTGGAAAATCTGACTTTTCTTTGGCACATATCTTATTACTGAGCATGCAAAGTTCCTCAGACATGGAGAACCTCTCTCTCAGTCGTCTTCCTAATCCCAGCAGCTTAATTAATTTAAGTAGGGAGTTCACCAGCTGGATTATTTGGGGGAGAAGTGGAGAAGAATCTTCTGCATTCTTCAGCAATTTCGTTGATCTTGCAATAGCCTTACTTAGACATGGCCAATATAATGGCGCTGAGGTTTCTATTCTGTATTTCATTACTATTTAGCCTTCATGTTCAGCACTTCGATGAAATAGTTCTAAGTGAATCCACTCTTTTTCTGTTGTAGTATTTGCTTATGTTGGTGGTTGCATATTCACACAAGGAAAAGACATTTGAAAGCCTTCATGCTGTGGATGGAAAATTTTCTTTACTTCTCCATCTTCTTGGATGTTGTCTTGTTGCTCAGACACAACATGGATTGAGTAAAACAACTAAAGGAAGTAAAGTTGCGGAAGCGCTTCGCTGCTTTTTCAGGTAGAGTTTCCGGTACAAATTTTCTGGTTTTACATTCACGAAAAGTAATTATCATAGTTTGGGTGTCCAAAATGATTGAAAAAATTGTAGATGCATCTCTATTGTTTGCTTATCTTTGTACATGTTCACATTATTTTTCATTACTATTCTAGTTTTGGTGCATAATTCGGATTTTTTTTTTTTTTAACAAAGTTGGGGTGTTATAAGTAATATTTGTCCCACATTAGTTATTAATCTGTTGTTGTGTATAAGTGGGTTGGGCACCCTCTCCATTTGAGCTACCTTATGGAAATGAGTTCTACTAAGCCCATTTATCATGGTATCACCAAATTTGTTTGTTTGGAGGCTATGTTGTGTTTGGACCAAACCTATTTGGATTGGCGTGATACGGGTGTGGGGATGTGTTGGTAGTTATGTTTGTCCACATCGGTTAGTTACTGGGTTGTTATTGTGTGTAAGTGTGGGTTGGGGACCCTCTCTCCGAACCAGTTTTTTGGGATTGAGTCTACCCATACCCATTTGTAAGAGTTATTTGGTTGTTTTTTATTTGACCATCCATGCTGAGACATCATTTATTTTGTTTTGTATAACTACTTTTTTTTTTTTTTTTTTTTAATTCAATTGATCATTTAAATAGATAACAATTAGAAGTTGTTATTAGGAATTTCCTTGGAGCTGTAAATTAGAATGGCAACTAAGACTGTTATGACAATTAAAAGGATGTTATACTTTTCTCTGTCTTTTATTCAGGACCGCATCAAGTGAAGTATCTTTAAAAGCTTTGCAAAATTTGCCTCATGAAGCCGGATGGCTGCGAATTGATTTCAGTTACGTGAAATCTTTACTTCGCCGCTTGCTTAATATTTGAATGTCTTTGTTGTGTCTCATACAATTGTTCTTGTTTTCCAGGTAGTTCTCCTTCAAGTGCAGCATGGAAGCTTCATTATTATCAATGGGTGATGCAGCTATTTGAACAGTATGGTTTGAGTGAAGCTGCTTGTCAATGTGCTCTAGCTGCTCTTGAACAAGTTGATGAAGCTCTCGACACCATAGGTAGCAGCTCCAGCGAGGGTCTTGGAGAATCAGTGACCACTGTGAAGGGCAGACTCTGGGCTAACGTGTTTAAATTCACTTTGGATCTTAATAATTACCATGACGCATACTGTGCCATAATTTCAAATCCAGATGAGGAAAGCAAGACAATATGTTTGAGGCGTTTTATCATAGTTCTTTTTGAGCGTGGTGCTGTAAAGGTTCAGTGGCTCTTCTTCACTTGCTGTCTCATTCTATTTTTTTTCTCAAAATATTAACCTCTCTGCATCTGCCTGTTTAATTACTTCCACATCTTTCTGATAATTTGATTTCAAGAAATTCATAGTATTGGGCTCTAGGGAAATTATTATATTCTACTTATTTTAATCTTACTGGACCAAATGTAGGAATTCATCTTCAATCTGTCGGCACAGTTTTTGAATTCCTGTAGTTCTATCTTAAAGTTTGTTATACTGTCTTATAACCTCATTTTTATTATTAATTGTTTACACTTTCAGATAATTTGTGATGGCCAGTTACCGCTGATTGGTTTAGTGGAAAAAGTAGAGCAAGAGCTTGTTTGGAAGGTTGGATGATTTACCCCTGGGTTGGAACCTTCTATTTTAGGTTACTTCTCTTTTTGCATATTAATGTTATCAACCATTTGCTTCACAGGCAGAGCGTTCTGATATCTCCACCAAGCCAAACCCTTTCAAATTATTATATGCCTTTGAGATGCACAGACACAACTGGCGTAGAGCGGCAACTTATATGTACTTGTATTCTTTCCGTTTGAGAGCTGACGCAGCTGTAAAAGATCATCAACCAAGGTCTTCGAATCTGCCGGAGAGGCTGAATGGACTATCTGCTGCGATTAATGCTTTGCAGCTTGTTCATCCTTCATATGCGTGGATTGAAGTTCCAGTTGATGAAACTTCCCTTGATAAAAGACAACATCCTAATAAGAGGGCTAGGATGACCATACAAGAGCAAAGTATGCATTCTCATTCTTCCATAATGAATTTATGTTAAGAAATTCATTATAAGTTTGTTTCTGGATACAAAAAGTTGGAGGCTTGGAGCTCGGGGTTTGAAATCCACAAGGCTTGTTTTGATAATTTCATGTTACTTCTTAAAACGGAATTTCAATCTTGTGATCTTGGTCTTTAAACTATTCTTTGATTTCATTTGTCCTGGTTGAAAATCCACCTAACTGGAGTGTCAAAATCTTACCAAATATGAATTGACATTCCTTGATCAATGCATGCCCTTGCATTTTTATTACTCGCTCAGTGATCACAATTTACATCTCTTTTGTATCAGGCCCTCCTGATGATTCATTGGCTCAGAATCTTACATCTTATTTAGATGTTGAGAAACTTGAGAAGGAGTTCGTTTTAACATCAGCAGAATATATGCTCTCTTTGGCTAACATCAAGTGGAGCTTTACTGGTAATTATGGTTACTTATGATTACTCTTGCATTTATGAATAAAATGCAATGGCTACTTATAATAATTAGATTTCACTTATTGATCATTTTATTTTGTGTTTCAGTTGAGTTTTGTACTAAACCTTTCCTAACTTAAAATTGTTAATTTGGTCCATAACTGTGAGAAAGCGCCAATATTGGTCCCTTCTATTCATATTTAGCAATAAAAATTTCAGCTAGGAATGGCTCGTCAATTGAGTCCTTTTTCTGCTGTAAATTTGAAAACCAACACAAAATAAAGGTTTCATGTGCCGGCCACAGGGCATTTTGGGGCAAGATTTAACCTTCCATGAAGAGACTTAATCTACAAGATTTTTTTTTTTTCTCCTTTTTTCAATCTCTTTACTGTAGGAATTTCTCCAACAGAATATGATGTTCTGGGATCAATTTCACCATTGGTCTATTAAGTCTTCCTTATATATCTGAACTTCCAACTAAAGTTGTATTCCTAGATTTGTGTTGGCAATTAATGTGGACTTTGATAGAACTAGAGTACTAGATGCAATTACTTGCTAGGATCCAGTGTTAGCCCACTTTTTTTGTTTTATCGTTGCGCTTTATGTTTCAGGAAAAGAAAAACCCCCAGCCAACCTTATTGATCTGTTGGTTGAATCAAATTCTTATGATATGGCTTTTACGGTGATCCTCAAGTTTTGGAAGGGTTCTGCTCTCAAAAGGTTATTTTCCATTTTATTTATCACTAAGCTCTAAATATTTATTTTTTTGGTGTAGTACAAGTCTATAATAGTTAGATAACTTTGTTCTGCTAATTCTGCAATCTGTAATTTGGCAGAGAACTTGAAAGAGTCTTTATTACCATGGCACTAAAATGCTGCCCAGGCAAAGTAGGCCCCTCGTTGCAAGGGTAGGTACTCCAATGGATTTTTATGTGATACTCCTGTATCTTCTTACAACTTCCATTCATCAATTTCTTGCTCGGCTCTAATCTATATGAACCTGTAACCAGCTTTGTTGCATTTGAGTAATTGTACTGATGAGTCTTGAATTTTTCCCTAGAAAGCATGATATATCACATATTAGCTGTTAAAAGTACTTTTTTTATTTTTTTTCAGTCAGACATATTTCTCTCTACTTATAAGCAACCTTTTGTTTTCCTCAGGAATGATAGTAAAATGCATGGTCTTTTGTTGACTTCATCACAAGAGTTCTCTTATGATTCACTTGATGTAGCTGCAACATCACAGCTTGTGGGAAGTGGCCACTGGGAAACACTTGAACTCTATCTTGTCCGTAATTCTTATGTCCCTCTTGTTTTTATGCTACTGCTTTCGACATTGGATTGGAGTCTCAAAGGCGGCGATTGGATACAAATAAAACCGGTTTTGATTGGATTTATTGGTTAAAGCGAATTAATTTTGAATAAAGTTGATTGAGTGTGATTTTAAATCTGTATTTAAATAATATTAAAATATAATGATTAAAGTTGATGTGAAGTAAAAGTAGACAATACATTATTGTAAACGATTAGTTAAAAATATGTGAGTGGATGAATGATGAATTAAAGTGTGATGTGTTAGGATGATTGATTCGTATTATTTAATTATATTGATAATATTTAGGAGAGTTGAGAGTTGAATTTTGAGTTAAGTAGTCTGAAAAAAATATCCGGTCTGTCAAAACCGGTTTTAAATCGTTCCCAATCAGACCCTAATGGTTTTCTGGCGTGCCTAAAGAGAAAAATTGATTCTATACTTGCAGTACTATCAGGCTATAATTGCTGTGTTATATTTTTGTTTCTTTTTATATCTCTCTTTAATTTGTTGTCATCTGCTTTCTTCTTGTATGACTTGTTATAATGTTTCTTATTTTTGGCAGTTTTTCATTGACCACATGCTGTTTCTGTGCTTTTGTTGAACCCAAACATCTTTAATTTATATGGATTAGTAACTACTTGCCATTGTGGTCTTTACTCACTCCTATCAGTTCCACAGGTAGAAATTTCCAATGCACTAGTTGTGGTGTTTTCAGGTTTGAATACTGAATAGTAAATCACAAGAAAACTAGAATCTCCTAAGTTGAGTCCAAAGTCTTTGCAACGTGGTATCTTGTGTCAAATTCTCCTTGCATTTGAAGTATTGTGCCGATGTCAAGTGTAGGTGTCATCCATATAAGCTGTAAAATTTTAAATCAGAGTGGTATCCGAATTTCCTGATCTTGGCTCACCTCCTAGGCATTTATTTTATTTTGTTTTGTTCATTCTAGTTTTTGTTTGCTTTTCTCCTTCTCATAGTTTCTGAGTTTCACAAAATTTGTGCTACAGCTTATAAATTTGCTTATGAATTGAATTTTTCTTAGGTGGAAGTTGCTTGTCTTAGAAACTTCAATTGGCTTTAGTTTCTTCAAGCTGTTTCTTATTCTATTTTCATGCATATAATGTTGTCGAAGGCTTAGTTGGGTTAGTTGTTGCAGGATAAATACAGGTCATTTCATCCTAGATTACCATTACTTGTTGCTGGGACTCTTCTTTCTGCCGATTCTCAAATTGAATTGCCACTTTGGTTGGTTAGACACTTTAAGGTAAGTTTTGTTATTTACTTTCTGCTGTTGGATTTTTTATTTTTTTATTTTTTTATTTTTTTTGTCTTGCTATGAGTTATTCTCGAGAGGGTGGTGGATGATTGTGGTCTAGTGTGCCTTTTCGCCTTCATGTTTCAGCTGGCCTGTGGATTTGTTTGGAACTCTTCCCCTGTGATCATGTAATTAATACGTGGTATAATTTAGCAGTGTTTGCAGAACTCAATGCGAACATGACCATGATGTAGTCATTTCTGTGTATAAGGATACTTTCTATTTATTCTAAAGTAATGAGAATCACTAAGATTGGTCGAGGGTTATATATTAGTTTAGCAACAAAATATAAGTTTCTAATTGCATGTTGGAGCTGGTAAAAAATCTCATAGTTGCTCAGCTTTACACATTTTCTTTCCTTTCTTTGTTCTTTTCTAATCTTTCACGTAAATAATGACAGGGAGATCGTAGTGAAAATAGCTTTGGAATGTGCGGGAATGAGTCAAATCCAGCGTCCCTATTCCGCCTATATGTTGATTATGGCCGATACACAGAGGCTATTAATTTATTGATTGAGCACACCGAAAGCTTGGCATCAGTTGTAAGTTGTGTCCAAAATTTGTTCAACATGGCTTTTTGACCTCCAAAGCATCTGTGTCTCCTGTCTATTTCTTGATGCTTTTTAAATGCTCAAGTATGATACATATAATTGCTTGGGTATTTGGTAGTGGACAGTTTGTTACGACATTTCAAAATAGTTTAGGAAAATTGACATAATGGAATTCGACACTGGTACTGATATGGACTTGGACTTGTGGCAGTTGTAGTAGTTCTATGGGTGATAACCCTGATTGTGCTGCATTTGAACTAATCTATTTATTTATTTTTCTGCTAATACTTGAAGATGTTTGCAAATGTCTGCAGCGACCGGCTGATGTCATCCGTCGTAAAAGGCCATTTGCAGTTTGGTTTCCATATACTTCGATCGAGCGCCTGTGGTGCCTACTCGGGGAATCAATAAAATTGGGCCACAGGGTTGACCAAAGCGAGAAGCTGAAAAAGTTATTGCATGGGGTTTTCTTGAGGCATCTTAATCTTGTAAGTTATTAAGCTCTTCCATTGTTTTTTTTCCCCTTTCCCAGTTTCATAATTGGTTTAATCTAATCATTGGCCTTTTTGCTTTTATTGCTTCTTCTTTGTCTTTCAGTTGAAAGTGGACTCTGATGACGTCCAATCCGGCAAGCTAGTGTTTCAATGAGTTTTAGCGCTCGGCTGCAAAATTACTTTGTGCTTACGGATGGTAAGGACTTCTTCTCACTTCTCAGTTTTTACCAAATTTCTGGCAAGAGTTCATAAAAGGACAAGAGTTTCGTGTGTTCTATCCCGTCCTTTTGCTTACTTGAAGCCGAGGGTATTGGCGGGCAAATAGTACGTGGTTGGCAGCTATACCTGACAGAACAGCCACTCTCTTGGTATTGTTTTGTTAGAGTTGTACTTGATGAATATTTATGTTTTTAGCTCTTTGAAGTTGGATATATATATATGCTTTGTATGTTATTGTTGCCAGTGAGTCAGAATTTTTATTCAGTAGGTTGTAGTCTGATTTCTGAAGCAACAAAAAATGATTCAAAATCGAAAAAAAGTTTCAAAATTTCAGATCTGAAATTCTGAAAAAACTGAGAGAAAAAGCAACGAAAAAACATCTTCAAGAGAGAAAAATCCGACTCCCACAGTGGCCGATTCTGATTCCAAGTGGCGCTGATCTGAACAATCCGATTTCAGTTGAAATCTGGCAATGAATTTTTTTTGAGGTCTCAAATTATCGAGTTCGAAATTTCAGATTCGAAATTCAGACCTGAATCTGATTTTTTTTTTTTTTAATCTGATGTTTTACACTAATAAGTTTATAACCATGGTTACATGTACATAAATAAAAGAAGCTGAAATAAACTTTGCCTTGCTGGAAAATGGAATTAAGGGCTGAAGAAAAAAAAAACTGAAATCCGTTTTCCCACGTGTCAACTGGTGATTGGTTGAACCAAAAAAGGGCGCCACTCTCGCGGGTAGCGTAGACTAAATTCTTCTACTGATACTCGTTTTTTAAAAAGTAATCGTACTAAACCTTTGACACATTTACATAGAAAAAAGCTTCAAGTATCCAACCATTTATTGACACGTGACAAATAGTGCGCATGATTGTCCAGGTTAGAGGTGGCCAATTGCCGGGCCATGACCTGGCCCGCCGGGTCTGCGGGCCTCAATATCATGGCCCGTGACCGGCTTGAAATAATTTATGGGCCGGTTCATAGGACCGGACCTGAACCGCCGGTTCACCGACCCGGCGGGTCACACCATAACTGCCCTTTAAAAAATATAACATCGTGGTTCGTCGTTTGACCCAGGGCTTGGCTCGACTCGAACCGACAGGTAAAAAAAAATGTTATGAACCAGAACCAAACGTAGACCCTAAGGGTCCGGTTCAACAAACCGGCCCTTAGGAGGCCGGTTCAGGGCAGTTCGGGCCAAGCCGGGACCGGTTCACGTGCCGGTTTGAGCCCGTGGACATGTCTAGTCCAGGTTTGCAATTACATCAGATAAAGTGAAGACCATCTCAAAAGTATCCTCCCTTAAAAAGTAAACTAACTCGAGGAATTTTAATGTACAATGCTACAGCAGCATAGTTCATGCTGAATTTAACATAATACACTGGAGTAAATTACAAACAAATTTTGAGAACATATTTAAGGATCTTACTATTTCTTCCCTTACTTTCAAATTTCTTCCCTTCAAACCACAACAGTAGATCCATTTGATTTTGCTCCATTTACAAATCGGAAGCAACAAATTGTGAAAATCTACCAATTCTACCCTTCCCAACTTAAAACATAAACAACACATATTGCATATCATAACCTCAGACCTACATCGCATAAGAATTCCCTTCCTGTCCAATCACAGGCCATATGAGAGAATACACTATCCTTCCACAAATACCCTTCAGCACAAGTAGCTTTTCACGTCGTCTCCTAACCGCCCCTACACGCGCATACCCGAATGTTACGATATTCTCATATCTCGGCCTAACACCATCCAAGCAAAAAACAAGGACACGTTTGCTTACGAAATTTTCACTGGGGACATGATTAGAAAACACAAATCTATCAATGATGTGATGAATGCCGTGGTTTGGGTGGGACATATGAAGTGTCACCACATTCGACTGGGGTTTGCATTAGGGGATTCCATCGGTCAAACACGATTCGGCCCCCTCGTCCGATCCTCCCGTGAAAGTTAAACAAGCGGGCTTGGAGGCCATTGGTCGTTGAAGGATCTGGTGATGGAGGAATTATTCCAGCAGCAGATAATTTATCTGGAAGTAAGGGTTTTGTGAAAAGCAGAACTGGCTCATCTGGATCCTGGATGAAATCAAGACATGTTTTAAGTTAGACAATCGTATAAGGGGATGCACAATGTAAGAGTACATATTAACATATGTTACTGGGGCATTCATTTTATACCCCAACTTGTAAAAAAATTTACTTGATGATTATTAAAGTTAGTTGCGCTCGTAGGTAGGTGGACATATACGAAACTAGCATGGGTATCTGTAACACTTCGAAAGGGGTGCTTATAGTTTGCCCGAAGAGGAAATGGAGCACTTTACAATCAGGCTAGCAATTCGGTTATGAAATAAATTAATTTAAGGAAGACGAAATAGAAAAGCACCAGTTTATGAAGCCAACTACGAGAAACGCGCCTTCTTGCCTCCTGCCTACCATTTGCTGAAGGGACCATCACCCGCTTCGACTCATTTCGCACCACAAAATGTCGACTGTGTGGTCGACTATTTGCCACATCATCAGAATCAAATAACTCCTCCTCACTCGACGCAGCCTTGCTTGGGAAGGACGGCATTCCAGGTAAGGCCAAAGAGTCCTCGAGGAGCTCGGTTTCATGCTGACAGTGTTCATAAATAAGTTGCTTGATAAACTAAGAGTTACATATGCAGCATTATACACAACAAAAGAGACCTCTTTAAAATTTAAGACCACTTAAGATGTAGTCAGACTCACAATACACTTCCAGCCTCAATTTTGTCTGTCCTTATTTGACTAAATCATCAAAGGATAATTTTAAAATGTAATCAACCAAAAGTTCCTATTCAGAAATCATCACTTCTTCACAAACTTGAAATGTAATTCCCACAATCATTCATATAAACAGCTATCTGGTTACAGTATGCAGACACTGTCACATGCATTTCTGTATCATACATAGTACGTTGAGATAATGATGCAAACCTTGTACTTCAACTGAACTCTTTGGAGGGTGACCTCACTCTCAATAAGTTCTCGTTTCTTCTCCTCTCTCTACAAAGAAACATGATAAAAGGAATGAGGGGTCATCATTCCAAAAGTATCAAGAGATCAGAGCCACATCTTAAAAGTCCAAAAGTTACAATACCTTGATCAGAGCCTCGAGAATGGTCTTCGCTTGGTCAAGGTTGCGCCTGACCTGGGGGAAGTAAATTAAAAACAATATGATGTGATCAAGACAGCGTCTTTACAAACACAACTAGAGATTCATATTGGAATTTCAGAGTTTTTAATACAAGTACGGAGTTCCTTTCTTGGCGTTACTCCTTGAATTGACTAACTTCTAGGACAGAGCAAAGGAAGTATATTAGGGTAGCCAACCATGAAATATGTGCAAGCAGTAGAGTACACTCGTTTATTTTTGGATCATGCTACTCATACATAATGAATGCCATAAAGGTTGTAATACAACACATGGCAGGATCGTGTGGTTTTTACGCATCACATCAACTTTAAATTCAACAACTACTAGTCTCACATCAATTATGTCAACCATTATGTCAAAATAATATGTTAAAGTAGCATTATTCTTGATATTTACAAGCAAACCATAGCTTAACAAATATCCTGGAGGCTCAATGCAAGGCAATGAAATTTCATTCTCATACAATGTAAAAAATGGGGTGATTACCACAATGTTGACCTTGTATCCCACAAAAAATTCAGAATAAAAGATCTAAAAGACCCACACCATAAAATCCAATCAATCTTGTATTCAGTTTGGAGTAAAAAAAAAAAAAAATAGGACTGCACACCAGACTCGGATAATATTGAACCATCCTAAAACCAAACCAAAATCATTTTGTACAGAAAGATAACCGCTGATTGTTTGACTTTCTTCGAACCGAATCAAAACCCAAGAAAAATCATCGGTATGATTATGGAGATTTCACAATATCCATATCGAGGACCAAACTGAACAATATCATAGAATACCAAATTGAATAACAGAATTACAACTTTGTACGCGGCTAGTCCCCTGATTTTATGACCACTTCAATCCTAGATAAGTTGAATGTTTTCAAAATATTTAATCACATATGGTAATAGTGATTCAACAAAACATAAATTTGATATTAAATAATGCTTGTACTATAATCATTTTATTTTTCATTTTCCAAAAGTTTAATTATATTACATATTTTGTCATTCTCCATCTTATAGTTCAAATGGTATGAAAATTTAGACAAATAATTTTACAAAATTACATTACATGTAATTAGGAGTTTAAATTTCCACCACTAGTTTGCACAAAATTTTTAGGCTTCATTAAAACTATAATTCATTCCAGTTTTTTAAGGTTGATTTTAAAACAATTTTTTAATAAGATTAAATATGTATAAATTAGGATTTAGAAAAATCAAATCAACATTTAAATATAACTAGATATTCATTTAGAAAAAAATGATTGAAAATAATGATTAGAAATCTACGTATCTACCCTTTGAATAGAATCGTTTTGATAGTCCTGAATCTCCAAATCAAATTGAACTAAAAACCTCCACACCAAACCGTCGTAATTTTCTGTTCCATTCCGGAAATTATATTTTGGTGGTCCCACTTTTCAACTCAGTTCGGGAGATTTCTAAATCTTAGAACCAAACCGACTCATGCTCACCCATAACATTTTAGTGGACTACGACTCGCGTATGTTGAACTTTCACTTGCAAAGGTAAAATCCAATGGGGGGAATATAACAATGTTCTTCACAACTATCAAATAAAACAGAGGCAAGATGAGGCACTGAAAATCGAACACCCAATTATTCCAATTAGAGCATCTGGTATATGGTTTATGTAAGTATCCAATAGATCAATGCTATATCTCAAACGAAGCAGTAAAATCTTTTCATGTCAAAAGAAGCAGTAAGATGTTTTCATGTCAAAAGATGCAATAAGAACAAGCAAAGCTTCAAAAATATACTAAACCCATCATTCAAATTTTATAAGGCAAAACAATGAATGGCTGAAGTAACACAGTAATGTTTGATCCAAGGTTGTAATCATCCTAATGCTAACTGTTATATCCACACATTAAATCCTTGCATTTAATGTTCTATATAAAAAGGAAATCTATAAAATATTTAATTTAAAACACACCAAGCACTCTTTCATTTGGAAGGAAAAGAAAAAAAAAATGTGGGTATTCATCCAATTAAAAGATAAAAGCTCACCTGGCGAAGCTTTTCAAATGATTGCACGTTGTTTTCCCTTCTTTGCATCTGATTAAAAATAAGAAAGTTTACAAATTGAACATAATGGACAATTTCAGCGCCAAAATTTAATGAAAGATATGTATATAAACATGATCAAACCAAGTATATGATAGTGGTCAATAATTATCACATACCCTTCTCGTGTGAAGCCTATGAGCTTTCTCCCTTGGTCTGAAGACATTGTAAGGATTTGTGTCATTAACTGGTGGAGGTGGCTGAAAATAAGTTGCAAAGACATTTATTAGAAGCTAAAACTACTACACTAGGAATAAATCCTTTACATGACTTGGACTTAAGTATCACATGTTTGCAAAGTTGCCAAGTACAACTCTAAGAGCTATGAAATGGAGAAAATAAATCGAGGTTCAAACTTGCTGCAACTCTAACAGTATTTAAGCGACAAATGTAAAACCGAGGCTAGATAACCACCAACACAGTAAACTGATCTATGTTACACGGTTATTCTCCTTTTTATTTTTTGAGTAAAAGATTTTCCTTTATCTTCAAGGCATGTACGGAATGGAAGCCGGAAAGACAACCAAGAACCTTGCCCATAGTTTTAATTTGAAAATCTGTTTAACCAAAACTTCTATAGAAACACCAATCAAATAATTGACTATACAAACCTGCAAACGTCGAAGGACAGGTTTTTGCCATCGTTCGCGCTGTAAGAGAAAAACGCAAAGAGAAAGAATGGCAAAAAGTTAAACGAACTTGTTTCCGATGAAATTCTATCTCCGACCAGCAAAAGTGGTTATTAATCAGCAAGCTATACCAACAATAAAATTCACCTTAATGCCACCCCCCAACTCAATATCAAATACCAATCTATGTTGTCCCTGATACTCAAACAAGAAGATCTATAACACAATGCGCATTATGCTCAATGATTCTGTTCAAAGTCATCTAAACTAGAGAAAATAACCTAAATTGTCATTCTGCACATAACCACACTATTGATTTGATACTCATCATGCATCTGATTGGCTAAAAGTTAGGGAGCTTGAGTCCAAAGAAATTTATGGCCCATTTTTCAGAAAGATAGCTATGTTCAATAACGAACTAGCATCCACCAAAAGAGGAAGGTGAAAATATAGAGGCTAAAGTTGCAAAGTGCCATATAATACACTAGAGGGAAAAATGATAGTCTGTTTAAAGGTAATCGCACTACCAATGTAAAATCAATTCAATGAAGCATAAAAAGAGGAAGGTGAAAATATAGAGGCTAAAGTTGCAAAGTGCCATATAATACACTAGAGGGAAAAATGATAGTCTGTTTAAAGGTAATCGCACTACCAATGTAAAATCAATTCAATGAAGCTTATGCATACCTTTTCCTTCCAGTAACTGTAAATAGACTGGAAAACTCCATATTTGATGGACAAAGCTTGTAAGGCCTAGCATGTAAGTCAAAGTATGGTCAGGAGATTATAATAAAAACACATAACAAGACCCAAATGAAGCAAAACATAGTATGAAAAGGCACGTGTCAGCCACAATAACAATTTCAAATCCATTAATGATCCCCACTTACGATAAGAACAAAAAGAATACAATAAAGATTACAAACACATGATACTTATGTGAAAAGGAACATTGTCGAAATCACGATACCCCCAAACTGATTTACATAGTGCATGTCACTAAAACCTTTAAACACAAGGATCCACCTCTAGCTCCGGTTCACATACACTAAAGTTCTGAAGAATATGCCTTACTAACCATCATAAATAATCCACTTGTCAAAAATACTATGCCTTCTGTCCATTTCAAAAACTCAAAAAGAAAAAAGCGTTTAGGGACAAACAAGCGAAGGTTTCATGAAGGCGAAAATATATGTAACATACAATGATGTTGACCTTATCCTCAAACAAAGTTGTGTGATCCTCAAGCTTCTAGCCGCAAGAGGCTTGCAGTATATAATTTACCAACTTATCATGGAATTGTTTCACTCAACTCATAAGCTTGTCGCCAGAGTTGATTCAATCTTAACACGAACATCATATGTAGAACAAGATAAACAATGTCAAGAATCTAAAAAAAGACATGCATGATAATAAATCTGCTGACACCACAAGTGTCCCAATAGGATTGAACTAGTTGAGCAATGTGCTCCATCAGGCAAGCTAAAACGATATGCGATGTATTTCAGTTAGCAACTTAGCACAAAATTACTTCTTAAAGCCAAAAAAGGAAATTATTAAAAAGAAAGAAAATATAAACCACGAAATCATGAAATGCTGAAGCACAATTGAAAAAATTTGGTAACCAAATCATAAGTGTGAATCTCACCTCAACAGCAGCATCAAAGGTTAAAAGCACCGGAATAGGGGAGCCAAGTGTTGGAGTTATAACACCTGCTTTTTCGCGAGCTTTATGATCTAAAACCTCCAACTTAAAAATAATTGTTTCTAATCTGCACCAAAATCAAATGATCTGAGAACAAGTAGTGCAAGAAGAAAGTAGAACCCAAACGTAATGAAAGTACTCATATCCAATAATCAGGTTCCCCAACCTCCCCTGCATCCCAAGAATAGCAAGAATCTTATAACATGCATATTAGAAATCACTCACATACCAAAGATAGGAACGAATGATATAGAACATTCAGGTTCGATGTTATAGTAGAATGTCAAAGAACAGCAATAGATTCGAGAATTTTATTATAAAAATTTTATTTTAATATTTAAGAAATAAACAATAAAAGTGCAAGGACATTCAACATATCTCTGATAAATGATGAAGTTAAACTAAAAATGCAAATGCAATACGCACAATACTCCGCCAATAAGGTACAAAAAATAGAAATATTATGGAGTTCTATTGATTCAAGACCTAAATGATAGGTCAACTATCAATGTAGGACCCGGAAGAAAATTCGTATCAGCTCGGGCACTGGATCATTTAAAACTATCAATTGAAGGCCCAAAAGAACTAACAGCTCTTGGTCTTTTTAATGGAGATACCAGTTTCTCTTTTGCTCTTTGATTAAATCGCGAAAAAACTTCCCCAAAATAACGTCAACTCCATCAACATCTGTAACATCCCCAATATAATTTTCCTCCAATACACCCCTTTACATCCTTCTCCCGTCAATAAAGAGCTATATTTCAGTAATCGTATTCAACCTCAAATGCAAACTAATTTTTATTTCATTCATAAATGACAGAATGAATTTCTTCAAAATAAATCTCAGGGAATTGGTTCATGAAGAATTCAAAGGACAAGCTTTCCAGAAGCTCAGTCTATCGAAATGCTATATATTTATCAATTCCTCAAAACCAATAAATGCACCAGTATTATCATATATATTACGCAGATCCATAGTGAGTGGGTAATGAGAAGATAGGTACTATGATGGAGAAGTAGTTAAAAGAGGAACTTGTCTGTATAAACTTCCGTCAAAGTTTCAACAGTAATTAAGTCTTGAGATCTTAATTTGACAGTTGAAGATGATTCAGGTCCCAAATTGTTAATTAATTTATTTGGGATCCTAAATTATAGTTGACCTATCTTTCAGGCACTGCACTGATAAAACACTAAAAATTATTACTTCTCAGCAGCAAGAGTTTGTCTTTCTTTGTTGAAGTCTTGAAGCCAATCTTCGTCCTCGTTATCCAGATCATACTCAATAAATTCTCCAATTTCAGCCCGCGCTGTCAGCAACATCAATTAGTTGTAATGCATAATCATTCAACTTTAAAAATAAAAATAGAAAAATCAGACTCCTACACTTGACTGACCTCCCCTCGCACGTAAGTATGATGTCGTCTGGGAGAAGGTACGGGAATAATCCCTTTCATAAGTGTCCACAATCACAAACTCGGGAGTAGGTATTTCTGAAGTACCTTTCTTGCCTGGTACATGCTGTACCTATGAATTTATAAGTACGATTTTCGGTAAAATGTTATAAACATTATTCAGCTTTCACCCAATTCATTAGCTAAACATATTCTACTTGACAGTTTACACACATGTATCAAAAAATACGAAAAGCCACAAATATACTCAGCTTTCAGAAATCGCTTGTCCAAAGATTAAGGTCCTCATTAACAACCAACTCAATTTGTGACCTAACAAAGATATGATAACAGCATGAAGAAACAGTATCCACTCAGTTTCTAATGCTACATCAGTCAGGCATCAACATGCCATTATTACAGAAAACCATTAAGTTCAGTTAACTTGTA